AATTCAGGAATATTGTCAATTAAATATCCTCTTAGGGCACATGCAAATACATATCTACCTTCACCATATATTTCTGCTGTAAGTGGGACTGAAGGAGGGTGGGGAGTGGGGGCAGGGAACTATGCATGGGAACAGATTCTGCCCTCTCTCTCTCCAATTCGGTTCTGTTCTGTTGTCCTGTAGTTTGTTTTATGAAGGTGAAAAGGGAGAGAGAGCTTGTCTGTCACTTGCTTTAATAGAACACAGAGAGGGACAATTCCTTTGATAAAAGTTCGTACTTCCGAATTGCATCCAGCCAATTATCAGGAGTCCTCCATGTACTTTCTGTAAGGCACAAATGCACACACACACCTTCCATGGGGAGATGAAGAAAACGACCTAGTGGACTTCAAGGTCATGTGACAATCAAATTGACATATTAATAACTTTCCTCAAATCCCTTAAGCTCTCTAATCCTACAAAGAAAAAGTGCCAGATGTAGAGAAAACATCTGAATCTTTATAAAAAAGAATAAAATCTATATGATTCAACACTGGGCAATTTTAATTCTTAAAGCATTCACTGAGCAATCCTCCTGAATCAGCCTCCATCTTCCTGAAACATGAACTCAAGCTGTCTCATGGTTTTCTACCTGGGACCCAGCAAAACCTCTCCCCTTGCTGCAGAGACTCTGTCGTATTCACTTCTGTGCATCTACCTAGTAAGAAGAAGTAGACACTAACTTTGCCCATCTAAATAAGAAGAAAAGGGGGAACTAAAAACGTGCTGCCTTTTGCCTGGATCTGGCCCTAGGTTAAGGAATCTCAAGGTCATAGAGCTTCTGTGGTCTGAAAAACTCTACTTTCTTCACCCTAGAAAGAGCTACAGATACAGATTCAGCCCAGTTATGAGAAAGAAAGGAGGAGACTGAAAGGAAGAACTGAAACAGGGGCCAATACCTATGGCTCTGCCAAGCCTAAAGGAAAGGGGACTTAAATCCAACTGGGATCAGTCTTTCCCTGCCTCCACCCTACCCCTGGATTACTCCGACCAGAAAATCCCATATGTTCCAATGCTTGAGGAGCCTGAGACAGCCTTGCAGCTTACCCTTAGGGATGTACCCATCAAGAAAGACTTACAGAAGCCAGAACATGAGTGATGGGGGAATTTTTTTAAGGGTTGAAACACTAAAGATTTCTGGAGAAAACTTCTCATTTAAAGCCCAGAGCAAAACCAAACAAATCAACAGTGAGAAGTCAAAAGCCTGAAAAATGTATAATAAATTATCAAAGAGAATACAAAGCTATCTCTTGATGAATTACAAAGCAAAGGAAAATTGATGAATTACAGATGTTACTGTATGTTACAGATGTTACAGATTACTGATAAAATACAGAAGTTTGTAGGTTCCCAAGAGTACATGGAAAAACAAAAAGGAACTCTAGAATGATTCAAAGGAAGCGAAATCCATAGAAGAAGGAATTAGGAATGAATATAGGTCAGAATTTAGAGCTCTTGATACAGACTCTTAAAACTCAACAGATGAGAAAAATTGAATCCACAATGGATAATATCTCTAAAGAAGTGGAGAGAATAGGGGGCAGCTAGGTGGTGCAGTGGATAGTGCACCTGCCCTGGATTCAAGAGGACCTGAATTCAAATCCGGCCTCAGACACATAACACTTACTAGCTGTGTGATCCTGGGCAAGTCAATTAGCCCCATTGCCTAGCCAAAAAAAAAAAAAAAGAAGTGGAGAGAATAACAAATTTGAAATTCAAGAATATTGAAGTGGACAGAAATTATCTGGCATAAGAGAAGCAAAGGGCAACAATTTTAAAAGAACTTGCAAATTCTATACAAGCAAAAACCATTGACCTCAAAAACAAGAAGCACAGAGATGTATTAATGATTACAGGTCTCCCAGAAGAACATGATACATCCAAAAACCTGAATACCACAATGCAGGGACAAATTCAAGAAAACTGATCACAACTTTCGAATACAGACAACTAATTGAGGAAATCCACAGATTACCTCTAGGAAAGAAATAAATAATGACACTACAACATCTAGGATAGACAGTGGCCAAATTTAACAATTTAAATTAAAAAAACAACAAATTTTAACAGTGACAGGAAAAATACCTACAAATATAAACTAAAGGGAATTTAATGAGATTTTTCTACAGCTAGAAAAAAAAATCACTTTGTATTTCCTGAAAGAAAAGGAACTTAAGCTGTAACCCAAAATGATATACTGCAGATCTGAGTCTAATCATTAGTTAAAAAAAGATGGATGCTTAATAAAAGAGTCATTGGAGGTACCCCTATAAAAAAAACCCAAACAACAAACTAGACATGAGCAGAATATTTGACTTATGAAGAAACACAAAGTTAAATAAGTATAAGTAACCAAGAAAGAAAAAGTAATGAAATCAATTATCCTGTTTACAATTTTTGTTTGTATATATATATATATATATATATATATATATATATATATATATATATATATTTTTTTTTTTTTTTTTTAAAGAGAGAGAAAGAGAAAGACTGACCTACAGGACACAAAATAAAACAAATCATGAGGCGGTGACCTTTATATGTTTCCAAACAAAGGCAGATGATGAATTTTTGTAGATTCATTAGAGTATGTGATCTTCTTCTCTATACTTCTCCCCCTTTAATTTCATTAAGCTGATTGGGGAAATCATCACATTAATCACAAATTTCCTTGATCACTACCTTCTCCCATACACCAATAGTTATTATCATCACCACCACCACCATCATCATCATCATCACTGGAAGTTACCAAGAATCAGAATTTTCCAACATGACTTATACGTGTACATGTGAACTACAGCTTGTGAAGACAATATCAACTCCTACTGTGGGGACTGCTTCTCTCCCTATTTTGAGAGTATGGAAGTCCCTGTTTTCATTGTCAGAGCCATGTCAGGAGGAGGAAATCCTTACTCACCTTCAAAGCTACAGTAAGAAGGGATAGATTTCTGTTGCTTTGAATTGGAGTTCAGATCACTTTTTCCCATATTTCTAATGGTGGATAAAGTCCCAGGCAAGCTCACAATTAACAAATAATGTAGCTGAAATAATATCTAACTATTATTTGTGTGCAGTGGATAAAGTGCTGGGCCTGGAGTCAGGAAGACTCATCTTCCTGAGTTCAAATTCAGCCATAGACACTTACTAGCTATGTGGCCCTGGGCAAGTCACTTAACTCTGGTTGGCTCAATTTCCTCATCTGTAAAATAAACTGGAGAAGGAAATGGCAAACCACTCCAGCATCTTTGTCAAGAAAACCCTAAATGGGTCATGAAGAGTCAGACACAACTGAAATGAGTGAATGACAGTTATTAGTGCCATTATTTTTAATGGTAAAATGTGTTCTTGAGTGCCAAACAACTGGCTTTCAGATGAAAATTTGGAACCTTAAATGCTTGTAGATCTTGTGAAGATAATACTACTGACACCCTAAGTAGGCTTTGTAGGTGAGACACTTAGAATTATTTCAGAGTAGTAGTGTCAGGATTTTTGCGAGTCAGTCTACATCCTCTTGGCCCTCTTGCCCAGGCTCCTTCAACTCCTGAACACGGTAATCCAAGGTAATTAGGATTATGGGAGCAGTCTGTGGCTATAAAGCTGAAATGGTTTTTCAAGTCTTGGTGTGGAAACTCCTTCCACTGATGCAGACAGCCAACTAAATAATATCTTAAAGGTCTTTGAAAGTTGCCTGAGGCAGCAAAAAGAAAGTGAGTTACATATGGTCTCATAACTAATATGTGTCCAAGACAGACTTGCAGCCAGATCTTTCTGACCACAGCTTCCAGATTCTATCTGCTCACTCCTCAACCGCCTCTGGTGTTCTGTTTTTTTTTTTTAACCTGGACCTGTGAATTCATTGCTCTAGAGAGTTTCCTGTCAGGAAACTCCCTCAATCAAGGCAGATAGGCACTTTCTCCATGACTCAGAGTCTGATAAAGTTGCCTTGGGCCCTGAGAAGTCACGTAGCAAGTATGTGTTGGAGGTGGAACTTGATTTAGTTCTTTCTGACTCTCTCTATCATGCTGCATGTGTAACTGTTCTAAAATTAACTGGATTAGTGACCCCTTTTGCGGTTTTCTTGGCAAAGATACTTGAATGTTTGCCATTTCCTTAGTTCATTTTACAGATGATGAAATTGAGGCAAAAGGGGTTAAGTGACTTGAACAGAGTCACATAGTAAGTGTCAGAGGTCAGATTTGAACTCAGGTCTTCCTGACTTCGGACAGCTAGGTGGCACAATGAATACAGCACTAGGCTTGGAATCAGGAAGATTCATCCTGATGAGTACAAATCTGGCCTCAGACACTAGCTGTGTGACCCTGGGCAAGTCACTTAACCCTGTTTTCCTCAGTTTCCTCATCTGTAAAATGAACTGGAGAAGGAAATGGCAAACCACTCCAGTACCCTTGCCAAGAAAACCCCAAATGGGAGCGTAAAGAGTTGGTATGACTGAAAATGACTAAACAACAACTTCCTGACTTCCGGCACAGCATTCTATCCACTGTGCCACCTAGCTGTCCCTGTCTTTCAGACTTACACTAATAACACATCACGATCCCAGCTGCCACATACTTTCCTCAATTCCATGCTCTTTCACATGATTTTCTCCTAATCGCTTATGCATACTCATGTCTCTTATCAATTTATACAAATATGGTAGTGCATATGTTTTTATTCTGCCACTGTTGTTGTTCAGTCATTTCAGTTGTGTCCGACTCTTTGCCACCCCATTTGGGGCTTTCTTAGCAAAAATACTGGAATGGCTTGCCATTTTCTTCTCCATTATTCTGGCATATCTTTTTGTTAAAATATTAACCAATATTATGATACTTCATTTTTCAGCAAATCTTTCCTCACACACTCACATTTTTCAAAAAGCTAGAGGAGAAAACACATAGGTTTTTTTTTTCCTAGTGATGATTTGTAATACTCTTTTCCTGCGGTTATTCTAACAGGTGGTGGGCTTCCATCAGCCTGGAAGCATCAGAATTGCAACGACTCCTACAAGGGTGGATGAGTTTAAATATCAAATGACTCGAACCCGCTGGCATGCCACAGAACAGTATCTTATTGAGCCTGAAAAAGTACAAGAGATGTTTCCCTTACTGAACATGGAAAAGGTATTCTTTCTTAAGTCAGCCCTCAAATACTTACTGAATTGAATCACATTTGAAGTTTCTACATAGGTAGAAATACATCAATTTAGGGCACTGTGCTCATTTTAAAGATTAAAACTTAGTGAATAGATGTAAGTCTTTGAGAGATTGTTAAGCTGAGCATTATATCTGCTGAATGCAATAAAGAATTGGCTTTCTTTTCTATGCCATTTGAAGATACATTTTCAACACTTTTCTATAATTGCACTAAAGGGAGGAAAAGTAGGTCTAAGGTCCTTCACAGTTAAACTTTCTTTGAGAATTGTAGAAGGGAAAAAAAAAACCCTGACTAGTTAGCGTAAGGATCTTATTAGAGTGAATCTTATTCTCATCAGAATTGGCTTAAGGAGGAAATAACATACATACTCAATTGGGTATGGAAATCTATCTTAACCTACAGGAAAATGGGGGGGAAGAGGATAAGAGAATGGGGGATGATAGAAGGGAGTGCAGATTTGGGGAGGGGGTAATCAGAAGCAAACACTTCTGAGGAGTGACAGGGTTAAAAGAGAGAACAGAATAAATGGGGGGTGGGATAGGATGAAGGGAAATATAGTTAATTTTTCACAACATGACTACTGTGGAAGTGTTTTGTATGACTACACATGTATAACATGTATCGAGTTGCTTGCCTCCTCAATGAGGGTGGGTGGGGAGGAAGGGAGAAAATGTGGAACCCAAAGTTTTAAAAACAAATATTAAAAATTGTTTTCACATGCAACTGGAAAATAAGATATACAGGCAATGGGGAATAGAAATCTATTCTGCCCTACAGGAAAATAGAAGGGAAAGAGCATAAGAGAAATGGGGGTGATAGAAGGGAGGGCAGATTGGGGAAGAGGTATTCAGAATGCATGCCATCTTGGGGTTGGGGAGTGGTAGAATGGGGAGAAAGTTTGGAACTCAAAATTGTGTGGAAGTGAATGTTGAAAACTAAAAATAAATAAATTAATAAATGTTTAATAAAAAAATAGTAAAATTTTTTTTAAATTAAAAAAAAACCCCTAACTAGATAGTGTGAGGATCATGTATGTAGTATGCATTTACATAATATCAACATATAGTATCTATAGTAATTAATTTATAGTTTTATATATTGTATATAATGTTGATATATAGTATTTATAGTTTATCAAATAAAAGAGGAGCAGAATAAGAAACTTATTCTAATTACCCACAAATACTCAAATATGATTCAAACTATTTCTAAACTTCCTTGAGAGACCTTGTATCAAACTTGCAAAGAGATATATACTATAGTGTTTAGATAAAAAAAAATTACTGACAGAGGATTAGGTTGAACAAGAGATACTGTGCCTTTTCTGTATAATATATTCCCTACCCCCATGCTCCTCCTGCCCCTTAATGAAGAAATCCCTACAGTTCTGTCCTTGGACCATCTGTTTTTCTTTCTCTCTCTCTTCTCTTTGGCAATATCATTCATTCCCATACTTTCAACTATCACCACTGTGGAGATGGTTCTAAACCTGTAACTCAAACCCAGAACCCCTTCCCAAGCTCCAGACCTTCATTTTCAGCCCATTACCTATGGGCATCTCCACATAATTGTCTACCTGGTACCTTAAACTCAACATGTCAATGAATTAACCAATCAAAAAACATGTATCAAGCGCCTTCTTTGTGCTGGATGCTATGTCTATGCTCCAGTCTAGAGGCACAAAGCAAAGCAAAAACCAGTCTCGTCTCTGACATAGCTTACTTTTTTAGGAGGGAGACAACACGTAAATAATATATATAGAAAAGATACAGCAGAGATGGCAGGCAATCTTAGAAAGGAAGGCTCTTGCACCTGATGGAGGGTGAAATGGTACTGGGAAGGGGCCTCCTGCAGAAGGTACCATTTGAATTGAGTCTTGAGAAAAGCCAAGGATTCTAAGAGGCAGAGTTGTCAAATTGAATTTGTTACCTCCTTCTCTCCCACCCCCCGCCCCCTCTGCCCCAGCCCCTAGTCTATCCTGTGGACATGGCGAGCACTAAATAACATCAAAAAGATGGAAATAACTAAATGCTGATTTGGGACTTATTCTTTAATCAGCTATCTGTGTAAAGTCAGATTACCAACTTGATAGAGCGAAGATAAAAATTAATATAAAAATAAAAGAAAGAATGAAAGTGGGAAAAAGTGTAGTTTATCACTAAAACAATCTTATCCTGACCTATTTGTGAAATTGCTAAGCATGAAAGATCAGATATGGCTGGAAGAACAAAGTTTACAAAGAAAGTTAACCTGTATAAATCAATTGGCATAACACAGAGACCCAAAAATGCCTCAAAAATTCTTTAGTCAGTAAAAGCTTATTGACTTATTTGCCAAAAAGAGATATGTGGCAACCAAGGAAAACAATGCTTTAGAGTTTAGACTGTAAACTAATTTGTAAAATCTTTTGGAAAGGGATGATGGAAGGTTTGAGCAGCATTGCTTCATAATACAAAGAGAAGCAACGGAAGGCAAAATCAATGTAAAAAAAGCTTAGAAAGAGACCCAGGGAAGCAAATCTGTCCTTAGGACATTTAAGGATGAGAATCAAAGAAAAAACAAACAAAGAAAATAGAAAAAGTCTGCCAAAACAAAAAAAAATTATTTAGTATTTTATTTTCCCCCAGTTACATGTAAAAACAATTTTTAACATTCATTTATAAAACTTTGAGTTCCAGATTCTCTCCTTTCCTCTGCCCTCTCCCACTGAGAAGGCAAGCAATTTGATATAGGTTATATGTGTGTAGTCATGCAAAACAATTCCATAATAGTCATGTTGTGAAAGAAAACGTAGAGAAAAAAAAAACCCTTGAGAAAAATGAAGAAAGTAAAAAAAAAAGTATGCTTCAATCTGTATTCAGACACCATCAGTTCTTTGTCTGGAGATATGTAGTGTTTTTCATCATAAATCCTTTGGAGTTGTCTTGTATCATTGTATTGCTGAGAATAGCTAAATCAATAATAATAATAATAATAAAAATAATAATAGCTGTGAATACAGCTGATCATCCTACAATATTGCTGCTATTTTGTACACAATAAGGTTCACTTTGCATCAGCTCATATATGTCTTTCCAGGTTTCTCTGAGATCATCCTGCTCATCATTTCCTATAGTGTAATAGTATTCCATCACAATCACATATCCAGCCATTCCCCAATTGATGGGCATATTGGATTACATTGGATCATTGTAATTTTGGTCTTGGGATCAAGATTGAGGGAGACTCACCAGAGTCCTAGAGTCATTACTGTGGAAAGTGGAGGGGCAGGTATCTGCCTGCAGGACATTCAGATTCTGCTCTGAATTCCCTAGATGACTGTGGTTTTACTTTTGTCTCTGAGCTGAATCCCTTTGGTTTCTCTTAGCTTCCACTCTCTTCTATGCCTCTGGCTTCATGACCTCCATGTGAAGCAACCCCTGGTTACGCATAAATATCAGCAAAGCACAAAGCATGGAGGTATATAGGCTCACTTAAGGTATTTGCTACTGTTGTGGAAGAAATCCATCATGAAATTACATATGTAAGAGGAATTTCTTGTGGATTTTGAGGTCCTCAAGATGCAACCTATTTATGGATGACATTGTCTTGGTTTCATTAAGCCCTAGAATATTATAGACTCCTGGAAGAGAACCTAACTTTTCATTACTAAAGGAAAAACCCAATGGATTGAAGAATGTCTATATGAAATGAGATTAGATGGACAATCTACAGAGCTTGTCCTTATGTGTATGTATGCATGTATGTGTAGACAGATGTGGATATAGCATATATGTATATTTATTAAATCTCTGTTTTAAATATTAGTAAACTTTGTTCTTACACAAACATACACACACACACATATATATGTGTATATATGGAGAGAGAGAGAGAGAGAGAGAGAGAGAGAGAGAGAGAGAGAGAGAGAGAGAGAGAAAGAGAGAGAACACTATGTAGTGAATGTCCTGAGTTGATTATCCCATCTCTCACTGAGGAGTCAGGTTCCCATAGCATGAGAACTGCATCCTAGGGGTAGCTTTGAGGTATTGAGGGTTATTTTGCTTTAATGCTATAGCTCATAAGTCCCCACTTGTGTACTTCTTGCCATGATTATTGTTTGATATTAATTAGCTCTTAGAAAAGAGATATTTTCCAATGGAATATAGTAAGAACAATTGGTACAAAACATATACTCCAGATGTCTGTGGTATGCTCTCCCACAAGTACACACGGAGTCCACAGAGTGCTATACTGGTATCTTCTCCATGTTAGGAATAAGTAAGGAAGTAATCAACAAATTGAGTGGACCCTTTGAGGCAGCTAGGTGACACAACTAGGAAAACCTGAGTTCAAATTTAGCCTCAGCACTAGCTATATGACCTTCTGTTTGTCTCAGTTTCATCAACTGTAAAAGGGGCCTCATAATAGTGCCTGCCTTTCAGGGTTGTTGTGAAGATCACATAAAATAATATTTGTAAAGGGCTTAGCATAGTGCTTGGCACATAGTAGACATTATATAAATGCTTATTCCCTCCCTCCGGAGCCTCTCTTTGTGGGGAACTTATGATAGGACATGGACAAAAGTTGGAAGAAGATGGTCAAACATGGATGAGTTGCCATATATGTATATAGTAAGAAGGAACATTCTTAGCACAGCATGTGGTACATTGTAAACAATAAATGCTTATTGACTGACTGACTGCCTGGAAAGCAATCAATTGACTTCAAATTGATGAAACTCCAAGTTCATTTGATTATCTGAGTACTTTTGTTCAAACTCAGAGTGATTCCCTAGGAATTATATGTACGTATGGATAGATGGATGTATATTTGTATATTTGTATGTGTATACATGCATATTTATCATTAAGTTATTTAAATACACTATGTGTTCTATTCCTCAGTAGGTACTGTGAATACATATGCAGCATATTCAACAGTCAATGGGCAGAACACCAAATCAAATAGATAAGTAAACAATCCATTGCAAATGGAAGCCTTCTCAAATGTAAACAGGACATTTGGAAGTATTTAATAATATGAATCCCTATTTAAATCAAGAGTGCTTTGCATGTAGAAGACTCAATAAATATTTGTTGAATGAATTCAAAATATAATTTAGTTCTCAGTACTCCTTTAGCTTTGAAGTAATGTTTTGTCAAAGTGTACATTTTTCTGTACCTTACTAGCTTTCCAGTTTATGAAAATCATTAAACAGCTAGATAAAGATTATTATTTACTAAGAAAATAAAAACCATGAGAAAGCCTTTCGAAAGGCCTCTTTGCTGAAATTTTTATTTACATGTTGCATATGCCTCAATTACATAAGAGAAAAGCACCCTGGGAATAATCTATACCAGACTCATGATGAAAAATTCTATCCACCTTCAGAGAAAGAAGTGATGGAGTCTGAATGCAGACTGAAGCATGCTATTTGTCACTTTCTGTACTTTTTTTGTAGTTTTTTTCCCCCCTAGGTCTGTGTCTTCTTTCACAGTATGGCTAATATGATGATATGTTTTGCATAATTGAATATGTATAACCTATATCAAATTGCTTACTGCCTCAGGGAGGGGGGAAGGAGGGAGAGAGAAAATTTGGAACTCAAATTAAAAAAAAAATCAATGTTAAAAATTACCTTTACATGTGATTAGGGAAAAAATAAAATATTATTAAAAAAAAATTTAAAAGTCTAGACCAAACTAAATGATGCGTTGGGTTTCAAAAATCTGATTTTATTCATATGTGGAGATAAAATATCCCTAGTAGAAAAACTCTACATTTGGTTGAATTCATCTTGTAATCCATTTAGGTTTTAGCTGGACTTTATAATCCTGGAGATGGTCACATAGATCCTTATTCTCTCACTATGGCACTGGCTGCTGGGGCCTGGAAATATGGTGCTCTACTAAAATTTCCTGCTCCAGTAACTAATCTAAAACCCAGATCAGATGGAGCATGGGATGTTGAAACCTCACAGGGATCTATCCGTGCTAATCGAATTGTGAATGCCACAGGTAAGCATCATTCAATATTGGTATACATTTTGAAACCACTACTTTAAAGTACGTAGTTTTAAAACTGATTTAACATTGAATTCGGTTCAATTCATTTTGATAGGCAATTAATAAGCACTTAGTATGTGCAAGGCACTGTGCTGAGTTGTGAGACTGCAAAGACAAATATAGAATAGTTCCTCTCCTAAAGGAAGCTGTGCTTTGCTTATATTTGATCACATGTTGTGAAATGTGAAGAAACATTCCTAAAGGAACATTTTTCATTGCTCGTATGGGAAAACCACTGTATTTTTAATCATCCAAGCATAAGATGTTGGCATGTTCTTCCATTCTCTTTTCTCTTTGTTGCCTTGTTATTCTTCTTTCATTTAAAAAAGAAAGCAAACAGAATTTTTTGGGAAGCATTTGTTTTCTCTCCCCCTCCACCCAGCAACTGAACAAAAACACTCATACCAAACATGTATCATCCACCATAACCAATGCCCCCACTTTGCATTAAAGTCTTTCACTTTTCCTGCAGAAAGTGCACTTCGTCTTTGGTTCTCTAAAATAATGGCTTGTCGTTGCATTGATCAGGGTTCTTAAATCTTTCAAAGCTGTCTCTTTTTAAGGATGTCATTTTAGAAATTGTTCTCCTAGTTCTACTCACTTTACTCTTCAGTTTGCAGAGGTCTTCCCACCTTCCTCTGAAACTATGCATTTCATCATGTCTTCTTGTACATTAACATTTCATTACATTCATCTATCATTTTTTCCCCACCAACATTGAAGTTATTTTATTAAACTTTCAAAAAGGGAAGAGAGGTGCAGATTTGGGGGATGGCGTGTTGCTACCCCTGTTGGTAATAAAGCTCTAGGTTTATTACATCGTGGATCTCATAGTCCCCCAGAGCCACGTGGTCCTTGAAGATTGTGTACCATTTCTTTAAAATAATCATGTTCCAACCGGTGCCTGTCTCAGCTGCAATCAGTTTCTTTGGGTCTCCTATTGAGTCGTCAGTGTTGCGATTCACGTGGACCTTGTTGCCCAGCCTGTCCTTACATACAACCTCCATTATGGCTCCAGGACATCCCTAGCCCCTAACCTCCCTAGCTCCTGCCTCACTGTGCACAATCATCATATTTTTTTAGCCATTTTCCAACAGGTGGGCGCTCTCTTAGATTCCAGCTACTATCAATATAGTTGTATATATAAGTCCTTTTCTTCTTTCTTTTATCCCTTTGGAAGTATATGCCTAATAGTGGTATTCAAAGTGTAAGGCCACAATATTTTTTGCCCTTATCATTTCTCTTCTTCCATTCTGATGCCTGCTACTCCCTCTTTGTCCTTTGACTAAATCCTGTCACCTAACCCAATGATGTCAAACTCAGATAGGAATGAATCCCTGCCCAGAGGCATATTGACTTAGAAAATCACAAATTGGAATTATCTATGTTGTATTGTATCTTTATACTGTTAAATATTTTCAATTACATGTTAATTTAACTCCAGCTGTCTATGGGCCAAGAATGTGACACTTCTGATTCTAAATTTAATAGCTCTACTTTCTATTTTCTTTCTGTTTTTATTAGTACAGTTGATGATTCCTATTTTCTAGCCCTATCCTTTCCTACTAGTTCAAATTTCAGTTCAATGGTAGTCTTAATCTTTCCCTTTTAGAATGTGCTTAGACGTGCTCCATAATCTCTTCTCCAGACATTAGAACTGATCTGGTATTATGTGAGAGAATTCTCAACTTGGCAGTTGAGAAAATAATCGTCTTGACATAGCTATAATGGCTGTCTTGTGAGACAACAATGTCTCGTGAGAATACATATACAGGCTATTTTAGAATCACAGGATACAGAGGTGGAAGGGACCACAGAGATCATTAAGTTTAACCCTCTTCTTTTACAGATGAGGAAACTGGAGCCCAGAGGAATGTGGCCCAGGTCCCAGGAACTAAGTATCAGAAATGGGGTTTGAACCCAAGTCTTTAAAACCAAATCTAGAGCTCTTTCTAGTTTATCATATTGGCATAATTATTTTCCCAGACAAATAGCAAACTATGCATATAAATTACATTGTAACACAATAATGAAATATAACTAAGTAAAAATTAAAAGAAGCAAATAATAAAGCTTTTATAGCTTGCATTTGCTTTGCATATTTGGTATGTATACCTTATATATGTATGTGTTATCTTCACCATTAGAATGTAAGCTCCATTCTTGGCATGGTGGTACATGTCTGTAATTCTTATTACTGGGGAGGCTAGTAATTCACTTGAGCTCAAGGGCTGTTAATGGGGAGCTGGACTAAGTTGAACATTAATATGGTGAGCATTAATATGGGGAACATTAATATGGAGTGGAGTGGCTGAAGGGGGGCAGGATGCCTAAGTTAGAAATGGAACAGGTCAAAGCTTCCAAAGATCAGCAGTGGAGTCAATGTGATTTAATGAATAAATATTAGAAACTCTTCAAAAAGATTTTCCTTCAAATATTTTAGGTTCTAAATACCCTCTGGAGACCTTGGGATTTGTTTTAAATCCCCGCACTTAGGTCAAGGTTGGAAAAAACATTCCTATTTTTTTAAATAGCTAAGAGTGTCATTTGAATCCTTTTTTCCCTTATTGCATTGTGAAATCAATCTTTATGATAATATTTGATACATTCATGTTATATGCCATTGGGTAACAAAGTCCCATATGACCTAGGAACTTATATTAAATACTTACTGATTGATATAATATTAGAGTTGAGAAGGACTTAAGAGCTATAGTTCTCAAACCAATTTTGCTCATGTTACAGTATTCTGTTCTGTGAAGAATCACGGCACACTGAACATTGAAGTTGGCAACACTATGACAGGCTTGAGCATACCCAATTTCCCTTTAATAAAAGTTCAATTCTTAACAATTTTAAGGTCTGACACATTTAGATGTTGATATGTATATGTAACAGGTAAATTTTGTTTATTTCGTAGCTAACATATTTAACCTACTTTATATGCTGGGTGAGTAAAAATTTTATATTTTATATTTATAATCTCTCTATATAATTATATATATTTATACATCTATATATAATTTATATAGCATGATATCCCAAAGTTCTTGCCATATTTGCCAAAACTTACAGCATAATAGCGTACAGTGGCATACTCTTTCAGAACCATTATCTTGATGAAGCCTTTCAAATGAGAAAATATATACAATATATAGATACTATATGTGTAACAGGGTTACTGTGGCAGGGTAACTTCATATGTGGCAAAAGATATAATAAACAAAGGAAAGGCCAGGGAACATGGCAATGGATACATCTACTGCTCTTATTCTAGACTTCATTTTTTGTTCCCAATGTCTATCCCCATACTCATTTTTTAAACCTAGCTGTGGGATAAATCATAATAAGAAGGGGCATACTGAAAGTGAATGATAGAGTAGGAAGAGATCAGCAAAGTGGAGACAAAACTATCCCTGTTTGCTGATACCATGATGTTTTACTTAGAAATCCAAGGGAATTTGCAAAGATTTAGACAATTAATAGCTTTACTGAAATTGCAGGCTAAAAAATAAACCCACAGAATCAATAAAATTATATGTAATAATAACAAAATATAGAAGACAGTGATGGTAAGAGAAGTCCCATTCAAAATAACTACAAAAATCCAGAAAATATTTAGAAATTAATCTACAAAAGGACACTCAATATTTGTATAGATTTAATTACAAAAAATATCCTTAAGGAAATAAATAGCAACTTGAATGGCTGGAGACTATTCGGTGCTCATGGCTGGGCAATGCCAATATAATAAAAATGATAACACTATCAAAGTCAATTTACAGATCTAATGCTGTATAAATAAGACTACCAAAGGGATACTTACAGACCTAGATTAAATAATAGCAAAATTAATTGCCTAAAGATCTATGTTATTGAGGGAAATAATGAAAAAAAAAGGTAGAAAAAAAGGAGGGGAAGATATCTAGCCTTCAAATCTATTATAAAGCAGCAATCACAAAAACCATTTGGTACTGGTTAAAAATTAGAATAGTAGATCAATGAAACAGATTAGAGAAGAATGGTTCAGAAATAATTAAATTCAATAACCCAGTGTTCAAGAAACTCCCAAACATGAATTGCCTAAGAAATAACTCCATATGTGATAAGAACTGCTGGGAAAACTGGATAGCAATCTGGAAGAAATTTGGCTTAGATTAACATTTTAAACCATAGTCTACAATAAATTTAAAATGGATAGGTGATCTGAATATTAGAAATTACACTATAAAAAATTTGAAGAGAAGATAAATTATATACTTTTCACAGCTATAAGCAGATGGTAAATTCTTCCCTGAACAAGGAATAGAGGCAATTACAAGAGATGAAATAGACAATTTTGATTACCTAAAATTAAAAAGCTTTTGCAAAAACAAAATCAATGTATTCAAGATAAGAAGGGAAGTTAGCTAATTGAAGAAAAAAGTTTTTGGATAAAGTATCATTGATAAAAATTTGATATCCAAGATATCAAGCTAGATAATTAATAGAAATATAAAGGACCAAAAGCTATTCCCCATAATTAAAGGATATGAACAAAAAGTTCTCAAAAGAATTGAAAACTATTACTAACTATGTGAAAGAATGCTTTAAATCCTGAATAATGAGAGAAATTCAAATCAAAACAACCCTGAGGTTTCAGTTCATACCTAGCAAATTGGCAAAGATGGTAAAAGACAGGAAGAGAAAAAAAAAGCAAAACTAAATTCTGAGATGTCAATAGCTTTACCAAACTATTATAGTTTGAGATGTTACTTAATAACCATGTGACCCTGGGCAAATCACTTAACCTCTGTCTGTCTCCTCATCTGCAAAATGGGGATCACAACAACACCTACTTTACAGAGTTGTTGTGAGGGTCAAATGAGATCATATCTGTAGAGCACTCAGCACACATAGGATATGATTAATAAATGTCTGTGTTCTTTCCTTCCCTTACTCTCTTGCCATCATCACTCAACGACCTTCCCTTCTTTGAGGGTTACTACATTTGTCTATTTCACCTAGTTCGGTCCCTTATCACAGTCAACTATCAGATTTCTGGTCATTCTTTCTCCTTTTTCAAGGTACCTGAATAAAAATCCTCTCAACTTCAATACCTGGATACAATCTTAGAGACTGATATTCTGATTGTTGTCCCCTTGAACATCCCTGTTCATGAACCTCAACTTCTATTGCCTAAATCTTTATTCTACTTCAACCTCCATAGAGATGACTGCATCATAGATCTCACCATCTCCTCTAACTATGATCCTACATCCTGAGATTATTCTTTTTATTACCTTCTATACTTTCATCTTTTCCCTTCATTATTCCTCCTAAATTTATTCTTTATTCTCATGGTGACCTCTAGCCCCTATGCTACCCGTGGTTATTCTCCCAGACTGTCCCACAGACTTGGAATGCACCTCTGCTTCATTTACATCTTTTAGAATCCCTAGCTTTAAGACTTGACTTGGATACCATGTCCTATTGAAAGCCCTTCCTGATCCCCTTAGTTATTAGTTCTCTCTTCTTCCACAAATTGTTTTCTACTGCATCTGCTGAGCAAGATTTGGTAGAGAAAGATTATAGGGAGAGGGGTGAGACTGGTTTCATGCATGGTATGTAGAGTAAAGAATGTACAAACTACTGAGGAAATCAGGAAAGGCTTCCTGTTTAAGCTGAGTTTTGAAGGAAATTAGAGATTCTATGATACTGTGGCTAATACAGGGACAGGGCTTTGCAGATCTTAAAGTGCTATATTAACATCAGCTCAGTACTTCAGTGGATCTGGGATTGCAGGTAAATTCTACCCCAGATCATTCAGGCTGCAACTAGCCACATCACATCCGGTGCAGCCACTGAGCACAACCTCCTGTAAACCCTTTGCATAGAGTCCACCTTGTGGTAATGACAATAATAGCTTACAATTCTATGCCATCATACATCGGACAAAGCACTTTCCTCACAATGACCCTGTGAAGGCAGGCACCACTGTATTCTTATTATTATTATCCTCATTTGA